TGCAGGGGTGTTATGCTTTATATTCTGCTCTTGGGAGCTAATAGGAGTTATGTGGTTTGTGGGAGATGCTGGTTCTAGAATTTCTTAACGTGTGCTTTCTTGTGAAGGAAGCATATGTCTCTCAGATTGCAGAAGATAAATATCAAAGCCAGTAGCCCTAAGTGACATAGGTGACTTTATGTAGAAGCTGTAATTTCTATTGGGCTGTTGCTTCTGCCTAAGAATAATTACCTCTTAGTAGGCCAAGCTCTCACAACCCCAACTAAAATTCACCACCACCACACCACCCCCCCCTTTTTTTTTAAAACAGATAACCATTGTGTGGTATGAATCAGAATGAAATCTTTGAAAAGCTAAGAGCAGAAGTCTTTTGGTTAACATGGAGGACAAAAGACGGCGAGCCCGAGTGCAGGGAGTCTGGGCTGGCTCTGCAAAGAGCCAGGCCGCTGCTCAGCCAGGTAAGAACCAGGGGGGTGTCGTGTGTGTGCATGCGCACGCCAAGCACATTCACACACACAGGTGGGTTTGTATGGGTGTGGATGTGTGTGTTGGGGGGGTCATAACAGACTTCTATGGACTCACATAGAAGGAACGACTTACATGTGAGTGGTGGCTTGTTGGTATTGTTGACAGTGTGCTAAGATCCTTAGTGTTCCTCGTGTTTAGTCACGACTCTCATACTTTTCAGCATCTGGGCTTCACTAAGTCATGTCTAGCTGCTGTATTGGTTATCTGCAGGTGGATTTTGTTAGTCCTGGCTCAGTAGATAGTGGGTGAGGATCAATTTCTCCCTGCTTTGAGTCTGTTCTCTCTCCTGCTTCAGCTCCCGTGGCTAGGAGTCCTCTCCATCAGAAGCCTGGTCAAACCTGGATGAACAAGGATCCGCATCTGTCTGACAGACACTTTGTATTCAGTGAACCCCAGCAGGTAGATTCTTGTCTCTCTTTCCACAGTAAAACCGTGATGTGCACATAAAAGCTGTATTTTCACAGCTGGTTCCCAAGTAGTGACTGAATGAATTCACTGATAAAAAGAGAGTGGAAGACTGGCTTTCATAATGAAATGGGAAGTGTTAGCCCCTTAGTATGTCTGAAGATTGTAGGCTGCCCCCAGTTTATGGGTCTATGGCATAATTCCCAGTTTTAGCAAGAAGTCTGTGCTGTGTGTGAGTAGAGATTACCTGAGTCTCATGAGTCTCCTAACAAGACCTGAGGTTGTATTGGACATCTAGTGTCTGATGGTCCTGAACCAGCTGTGCAGTCTTCAGTGCCATGGCACCAAATGTTGGAGTTGTATTAAAATTGAAGCTACCTCATTGCCTGGTTCTTTAGCTCCCTCTCCTTGCCAGACAAGAATGTAAGCAACTGTAAAAGTTCATTGTTTTTAGTATAACAGAAAAAAGAGCTAGAAATCAGGCTTCTTGCTACAGTAATGGCTGTATAAATAATGAAGAAAATCCTTTATAGTGTGTCTTTCATTTTTATAACTCTTCTGGAAAGGAGGTTTTTCTAGAGTTTCTGGCAGCTTGGAAAATGGATAAATACTAATTGACTCATTTTTTTTTTAAACTACCAACTAGTAACTATGATATCATTCTAAAAAAAAAAAAAGTAGAAACAAGGGTTTATAGTGGGATAGTTATAGCTTAGAGTAAAAAAGGGATGGTTTTAGATCTGATTTATTTTGACCAGAAAAGTGAGCCCTTCAGACAAGACCCCCCCCCGAGGACTAGGATTTGTTTCAGAATTAAGACCTTATTTTCTTGCAGGTGGTACGCAGAACCCCGGAACCTCGATTGATTGAGTAAGTGATTTGCTGCCTTCCCGTAACATTGGCTGCAGTGAAATGGAGAGCCTCAGACCTTTCTCTCATCCTGGTCTTTCCATTTGGGAGAGATAACAGCCCAATTAGTGTCTTAATTTTAGACCAGGATGTTCCTATCTCAGATGTTTTTAGATTAAGTCTTTTGAGAAAGACCTTTTCTGAATTTGCTGATGTGGAAAAGGCAACAAGATACCTGTACATTAAACTTTGACTCTGGTATAGATTCCCTGACCCTATTTCACTAATATATTTGCAGACACTAAGCTAAAATATCTCCCAGCAAAAGACAAAGGGAAATTTTTCCTGATTCACTGAAGTGTAGCTCTTTTGCTACAGTGTTTTTGCTAGCAGTGTTTATGAAAGCTGCTAGAAATCTAGATGACCTTGCAGTTCATTTGTTAAAACCACATAATTATTTCAGAGCAATTTGTCAATTGTGAGCATTCCTTTAATATTGATCAGTGTTCTTTTTCAAAATTAATGAGAGATACTTTGACTTTTTTCCCCCTGATTTTTCAGTTTCCATCTGCTGTAGATAAATGGCCAGCGGGAGCATCCTTTTATTTTTGCAGATGGAATTTTGTATATTTTACTTCTCATGAATGGACTAGTAGACTGTTTCATTTGCAGGTTGACTTTAAAAATCTTTAAAAATTTGGCCCTCCCTGGTGGCGCAGCGGGTTAAAGCACTGCACTGAGAAGCTGAAGCCACTTCCGCATGAGTTCAAATCCCGCCTGCCCCGGAGGAGACCACATGGCGCGGCAGACCTCTCCTGTCTCGCCCGCTGCTCCCCTCAGCAGTGTACTTCGTCGATCTGCCTGTTCTGCTCCCCACTCTGTCTCTGGTGAAGCCTCTCACCGCCCCTGAGCCTCTGGCCTGTACCCCAGTTCTGTATGTACAAATAAATAAATCTTTAAAAAAAAAAAAATCTTTAAAAATTTGGAGCTAGAACAAATGTTATACTTTCAAAAAGGGTATATAGTTGTGGCCTTGCCACTGGTTAGCATGTAACTAAACCACTAGTTAGAAGTGTAGCTAAGCCACTAATTAGCTGTGTAACTAATGCCACTAGTTAGCTGTGTAACTAATGCCACTAGTTAGCTGTGTAAGACACTATTTAGCTTTGTAGCTAAGCCGTAAATTAGTTACTGCCCTCTCGCTGCACTTATTGTCTGTGATGTTGAGGGTTAAACTGTATGGTCACTGAAGGCCCAATCTAGTAAGTAACAGTCTTCAACTGTTTTTTTTTTTTTTTTAAAGATTTATTTATTTATGCTTACAGAACTGGGGTACAGGCCAGAGGTGTGGTGGGTGAGAGGATTCAGCAGACAGAGTAGAGAACAGAACAGGCAGATCTACTGACATACACTGCTGAGGGGAGCAGTGGGCAGGTCAGGAGAGGTCTGCCACGCCACATAGGGGTCAGCTCCTTGGCAGGGTTTTGAACTCGTGCTGCAGTGGGTTCGGAGAGCTTCATAATGCTGTGCTTTAACCCGTTGCGCCACCAGGAAGAACCCTTCAACTGTTTTTACAAATAGCGATGTGTCAGTGCCTTGGTGAGAAAGGAAATAAAGAAAACCATGAAACCCATTACAAGGTACAGGTGGACCATCAGGCTGAGGAAATGGGCAGTCATGAATTGGTGAATTAGACTATGACAGAAGTCATTCCTCCTTGGCCCTAGGGTCTATTGATTCTGGTTATCTAAAGTTAGCTATACTAGATTTTTAAAATTTTTAATGTCACCCACAGTTAAAGTGAGCTACTTTGTAAATGTGACCTAAAACACCCTCCATTAAAACACTTACTCACACTCTGGGGTTCTTGAAAAGCAACTCATCTAGAAGAATCTTAAATACGCAGGCAATAATTTGTGTCTGGCTCACCCCATGCCCAGCCAGAGCTCATGAACTGCTGGCGACATGCAGAGGGCGATGTCCTTTCACATCATTCTCTAGAACTTACCTCTGCTGAGAATTATCTGACAGAGCTGCTTTTTTTCTTAGTAAAACTTTTATTGGTTTACCATTGATTTACATTACTATGTAACTTTGGGGGGCATATTTTCACCTGTCTGTAACCTCACCCCCCTACCAAAGTTCTGGCTTCTTTCCCACTGTCAGATCAAAGCCCTCTGCCTTCCCTTGTCTAGATTTTTCACAGTCTAAGAGTTACATTTGTTAATTTGTTTGCTTTGGTTATTTATATTTCATATATCATTGTCTTTCACTTTCTCACTTCTGACTTATCTTAGTGTTATCACCTCTGGTTCTACCCACGTTGTCCTGAAAGGCAAGATTTTAACTTTTTAATAGCCAAGGAATGGCCAGTCACCTGCCAAAGAGTGTTTGGTTGTTTCTGCGCCCGAGCTACTGTGACTAATGCCGCCATCCACCCAGGGAAGCACACATCTTTTTGAGTTAACATGTTCATATTAAGATAAATGCCTAGCAGATATATGGTATTTCTGTCTTTAGATTTTTAAGGACTCACCATACTGTTTTCTACAGAGGCCGCAGTGGCTTACATTCCCACTAGTGATTCCTTTTTTGTCACACCCTCACCAACACATGTTGCGTCCAGGTTGTGAGGTGACATCTGGTTTGATTTCCCTGTACTAAGTAAAGGTGAGCCTACTAGCCATTATTGTGTCTTCCTTGGAGAAGTGACACCCGTCCAGTCTGGGTCACTTTTCACACCATGACCTTACCACCAGTTACAGCACTTTTGTGTAGATTAACTTCAATAAGGTTTTACGGTCCATCTACTATGTACTGTGCGCTGGGAAATGGAGTGATGACCCATTCCTTGCTTCTGTTAGCCCACAGTCTAATAAATGAAGTAAACATGTAATGAGATGAGTAAATTGTAAGCCTGTATCATAAAACAGTAGGCTTGAGGTGTGGCCTATTTGATAGCACCAGTGTGAGACAGTTAGCTTTATTTGGCTGGGGGCGTGAAAAGTTGGGAAAGATTTACAGAGGGTGATGCTGGGCTGAGATTTCCACTGGGCCAATGATGGGGGTCTTTCGGACTAGGGTGGGGAGGCTGGTTCAGGGAGGTTTCCCTGAAGAGTATGCGGTTGAAACAGTATATTCAGGAGATTCCAAGCAGTAGTTGCCACTGGAGGAGGAGGAGTCCATGTTCGCCAAGGACATGCAGCTAGGTCATGAGGACCTTGCGTGCAGAGCTGAAAAGCTGATGCCGCCTCTGAAGAATTTTAATCGGAGGAGGAACCTCATTAGACATCTATCTTTGACTGCACAGAAGCCCAGAGCCCCGGATGTCCTTGCTGCCCATGAAATACACCCCTACTCTAGAGTCTGCAAAAGGTGCTCTTTCTGCTGCATCTTTGTGTGGTAGATAGATTCCTGGACTTTATCTGCCCAAATGATGGGTGAAATAAAAAGGGGTAGAGTCAGACTTTATTTTACCGTACTGTCTCTCATCAGGGTTCTTTTCCTACTGCCATTAAGCTCTACCACCATCTTGCCCCTTACCTCAGTGTTAGAGGAAGGTGGGGTTACATCTCCCTTGTCATGCACCCTCATTGTAAAATATTGGTGAGTCAGGGCTTTGGGAGCCCCAAGGGATCACCCTGCCATGGGGTGAGGTGTATTGTTTTGCCTGGTACTGATAGGCGTGTCTTCTTGGTTTCTCTAGCAAAGAGGGCGTGTATGACATCAGCCTGGCGCCCACAGGAGTATCTCGGTAAGTGAATCTCCAATAGGGGTGATTATAGTTGTCACCGAGTTATTATAATCACTTATAATATTCTGTTCCCTTGCTTGAATAGGTAACTTTGGCCTCTTAAATTCTTAGGGAGCAAGGATTTCATAAACACCCCTTTTCTAGAGCATTTTCAGCTGTACATTGTGCTCTCTCAGATACTATGACTACTACTACCCCGTGTTCCGGAGGAGGAACCTCGGGTGGCCCAGGGAGAATGAGCTCTTTTTCCTATTGCCACACAGTAAGCTGAATTTAAGAACGGGTCCAGCCTTGGCTCTTCTGCCTGAGGTATTATATGTGTTACTGTTATATTATTGTATTACCTAGAGGGTATAGATGAAGAGATACTGTTATGTGGAGGTGGATTTCAGTAAAGTTAAAAGCATGCACTATCTTGGGTATATTAGGCATTGTATGACTTCAGGTGAGCTTTGACTTTCAAAAACTCAGCGGCACTCTCCATGTGTGAAGATGTGCTAGCACGGGGCCGATTCAGCGGATGGATGGAATTTCAGAACATTTTTTTTTTCTTTTTTAAAGATTTATTTATTTATGCATACAGGAACTGGGGTACAGACCAGTATGTGGGGGGTCAGAGGATTCACCAGAGACAGGGTAGGGAGCAGAGCAGGCATATTGACTGAAACACACTGCTGAGGGAAGCAGAAAGCAGGTCAGGAGAGGTCTGCTGTGCCATGTGGGTCACCTCCTGGGCCAGAAATTGAACTCGTGTTGCAGTGGCTGTGGATCACTTCATAGTGCTGTGCTTTAACCATTGTGCCATCAGGATGGGCCCCAGAACATTTCTTTAAAAGGCTTTCCAAAATAATTCTGAACTTGGCGTTGTTGAAATAAGCATCTATTCACTGAGAGAAGGTTACCTTGATTAGCTTTATCTTGAGGCAGCCTTATTGATCTCTGGCTTACATTTGGTGTAATCTTAGAAGACTCCCTGTTTTCTTTAGGATTAGTTATGCATACAAGAACTGGGGTACAGGTTAGAGGTGCGGGGGTGAAAGGATTCAACACAGACAGAGCGTGGAGAGCAGCATGTAGATCAGGAGAGGTCTACCATGCCATGTGGGTCACCTCCCTGGCCGGGATTGAACTTGTGCTGCAGTGGCTGTGGACAGCTTCATAGTGCCGGCTTTAACTCATGCCACCGGGGCTGGGGGGTGGGACAAAGACTCCCTATTGTTAACACAACATCTTACCAGGCATTTTGTGAGCTGTTCTACTTATTCTTCACATTGAGCCTTTGAGGTGGATATCATCTTCATGTTGCTGAGGAGAAAACTAAGGTTCAGAGAGATAAAGAAACTTGCCCAAAATTTCACAGCCAAGCAGTGTGGATCAGTGTTTGGCCCATATCTGTAAAAGGCCTCATTATTCCCTTTTCCTTCTTTGCCTCTTTTGTTTGTCTCAGCATGAAAGGAGTTTATTTTACACATAAAGCATCATGACCCTGGTGATGTTAGTCTCTCCGCTGAGGGAGGTGTGGCAAGAATGATTTCATCTACCCATAAAAGGAAGCCTCCTGATTAACTGACCCTGCTAATGTTTAGACTCTGACCCACCTTTTCTGTGTTAGTAAGGGTTCTTTCTGTTTCAAGGGTGTGTTTGTATCCTGGCTTTGTTGACTTAAAAGAAGCCGACATGGTATTGAAACAGCTTTGTCAAGATGTTCCCTGGAAACAGAGGACCGGCTTCAGAGATGGTAAGTGAGCCTTTGAGATTGCAGTTGGTGATGCCTGGTCTTCCTTTCTGGAATGTTTTCTGATAAATTTGCCACTTCCAAATAACTTGACCACAGCCATTGTTAAAAAGAGATTCTAAACCTAACGTCCCTAAGGATGAGTAGGAATTAGCTATCCAGAGGGGACAGGGAAGAGGATTTCAGGCAAAAGAAACAGCAGATGGAAGACTAAGAGATCAGAGAGAACATGGCAGGAATCTGGACTTCAAGGACCGAAGGAGTTTGGCTTGGCCTCCAGGGGTTGATCTACGTATCCCCCTTTGTGTGTCTTTGTTAAATGCCTTTATTGAGTTCCAGTGATGCCAACTTTCTATGTTCTTCGTAGAAACTTCTTGACTTCTCTTTCCTGACCCTGTTAGGCATTTTTTCATGGATCTTTTTTATTGGCTTTTTATTTTCATTTTGGCTTCACTAGCCGGGTCCAGGCTCCTGTAGCTTCAGCTACCCTCCTGAGCTTGGAAAGATCAGGGGATTGGAACCTGCTCCCCGTCTGGCTTCTGTGAGTGGCCGTGCCGGCCACACCAGAGGTGGCCACTGGAGGGCGCCTGTGCTCTAGCATAGAATTTCCTTCACAGAATTACACTTGTGAATTTAAATTTTTTCTAAAGCAGCAACTGTATGGACTTCACTTTTCTGACTAAAACATAAACTAGGAGTCAGCTTTCTCAGCTCTCAGCTGTTACTACAACAGGGCTTTTGTGTCAGAATTGGCTTTGATTGTTGGCTTTGTCATTCAAAGTAATTGTTAATTTTAAGCAAATTATAGTTAAGTAACTTTCCTGCCCTCACTTTTCTGATCTGTAAAAGGGAGTTAATTCCTGTCTTATAAGGTTGTTGTGCTAATAGATGAGATAATGCACAGCAAGTGCTCAACAGAAGGCCTGGTGCAAAGAAAGCCTCAGTCATGGAGCTGTTTGAGCGATCATTGTGGTGGTTGAAATCAATAGTGGGAGAAACCGCAGATCGCTGGATAAATTCCTGTCTAAATAACTTGAACATCAGAAACTTACACTGAAATCAGCTATATGCTATGGTTGATCAGAGCACTTTTTCTGTGGAATCAAAGGGCTTATCCAATGCTGGGCACAGGGGGAGAGTTTGCTTCCTTTCTCACGTGGTCATTGATGCCACAATCTTCTGCTTACCCTGGGTCAGCCTCCACACCCTGCATTCTAGACCCACCCTTCCACCGTGTGACACCTTCTGCCTTCTCTCTTGCTGCTGTCCTCTCTGACCCGGAACTTCTCACACATTCGCACCTCAGAACCCTTGTCCACACCCTGCCTGCCTGCCTCCTCCTCCTCCTCTTGCCTTTTGTAGCCATTATCCTCTCTACTGAAGCCCTGTGTCCTCGGGGGGGCTGGACCCTTGTCGAAGCCCATCCCCTCTGCTTTTTGCGTTGCTCACACTTCTTGCACATGGCAAGGCTTGGGGTCGGCACTCGGTGCCATCAAACCTGAATCCACCAAGCCACTTCACAGGCCCTGTGTTTTTTTTTCTTAGATGTAACTTACCTGCAGCCAAGACTTACAGCATGGTATGGAGAACTTCCTTACACTTACTCAAGAATCACTATGGAACCAAATCCTCACGTATGTTGGAATGTTGTTGCTGTGGCTTTATAGACTGTATACCTTAAATGTAGAGTGCTGAAAACAGCACATTACCTTGTAGAGCTGCATGAAGCTTCCTAACTGAAAACAAAGCAAACAGAAACCCTCTGGGTTAGACACCGAGTGTTTGTGCTTATCATCTTTGATGTTCTTTTCACCCGTGGGTGAACTCTGAGGGTGAGAAACCAGAACAGCCTGGCTGGAAGCAGGGCTCCAAGAGACTGGGCCACTTATGTCCCTAACCCTCCGAAGCTCCTGCCGCTGCCCTCTGTGGACAGCGCGTCTCACGCTGCCCTGGGCCACGTCCTTCTGACTGACCGGGGAGATCAGACATTTCTTCGCATTTCTCGGACTCTTGCCAGTGTGGAAAAATCTGCCGTTTGTCTTGTTCACTTTGTCTTCATTTGATGGCTGCAGTTTTCAAACTTACTACTTAGTGTTATTTGGGCTTGTTTCTACTGTTGCTTTTGTTTCAAAAAATTTCCATGACAGTAGACAAAGATATTTTAGTGTATAAATTAAGCTTGTCTGAGGATGGAGTTAAGGTTCAAAAAATAGCTGCCTGTTAAGTTCCTGGAATCCTGCCTTTGGCAAATAATGTTATGCTTTATTGAAAGAGACTGAAGAAAATGGAGTTTTGCTTATGGCATTGAGTTAAACAGGACTGTGACACATTTTAGAGTTTCTAGTAATTTGCAAACATAAGCTACCGCTTTGCTAAAATGTTCCAGGATAAATTTTTGAGGGGTGGGGAGGGGGGCCTGGTTTTTCACATAAGGAGGTAGCTTTGTGTTTGGGTTCTATGCCTGCATTTAACATGTGACGCCGGGAAGCAGTGAGCCCTGCATCTGAGGTTCTTTTGAGAGAAGTGCAGCTGCCCACCCAGTGGAGCCCTCGGGCCCTGCTTCTGTGAGACTAACGGGCCTTGTCAGAAGTCGAGGCATTGTAGTTGAGGATTGCATGACAGTGGGGAAGAAGTTCTTTCTTGCCTTTTCTGGCTCGTTTCTTTGAACTGGGGTCATCAGCTGTGATCAGACTGGTGTTTTGAGCTGGCTGTTCTCTGTGGTGGGGTTCAGTGCAGTGCAGGGTGTTTAGTGGCACCATGATGCCCAATAGTCGCCAAAGTGCCCCTCGCCCAGTCACGACAGCAAAACCTACCCCCCCACACACACACACACAGTCAGATGTCTGCAGGGACAAGCCCTTCCCCTTTAGAACAAAGGGAAGGTGTGAAGAACCTTTCCTTCTAAGAAATATGTTTGTTATTGAAAATTTTGAACTGCAGGTAAGTGTGAAAGATATTTAAATTTTGGATAATATACTTGATGGTTTGGTTCTAATTTTTTTTAATTTTAGGCAAATATACAGAAAGATATTTTCTATAAAAATGAAATCAGTTCTGTAGGTTACATTTCATGTGATGTGATCATCAACATGTTTTGGTATCATTAAGTACTTTTCTACAAAGTCACATTTAACAGCTGCAAAGAGTATCCCGTAGCCAGGGGAGACGTCATGTATTCAAGGAGGGAAACTTCTGTTAGATGTTGAGATTGTCAAATTCAAATTAAAGAATTAAAGAATTTGGATTTGACTTCCTTCTAACTCCTTGTTTATTGCTAATAGATTCATTTATTTATACAATAAATATGCTAGACTCATATTTCTTTTAAGGGGCATTCACTAATGTATGTCTGTTTGTGTGTTGGGGGTACTATTTAATTTCAAAATTACTACCTCAAGCTTAAAACCCCATAGCACAGGCACAGATTCAGTCATAGGTTATTCAACTTGTTTTAGTCTTTGTTCAAACAGATCTTACTTGAACCCAACCTGTGAAAGTGAAAGAGGGCATTGGCTGACTGGGAGTCTTGCCAGACTGACTTCTCCTTTCTCTTGCTGTAATCCCAGGGGCACCCGTGGCACACAGGGCTCTATGGGGCACTGTTTGAAGTCTACTGAATAGGTCCTTTTACTCCTATTTTCTCCTCCTCTCTTCTTCAGATGTCTTTTAAGGATAGAATGTCTTCACTGAACAGTGAGATGACGCTGAATTTTAATTTAGACGTTCAGTTCTGAGGGATCTGTATATAGAGTATTGGTTGGAGAGTCTAAATTAATCCTCCAGTTCATTATCCCTTTTTTTCTCCTTACTTAACCACCAAAAATAACCTAGAAAAAATACATATCACCGTGCTTAGTCCCTAAGCAAGTCAGAAAAGTGCTAATTAGTTTCTCAGTCACACTGCGGGAAAACTACCTTCCTCCTTTACATTCTTGTTTTTCTTGTTAAGTGTATAATTCTAGCATCTGATCTTTATCTCCATGAGTTGAAGCTTACAGCGATGAAGTAAATAGAAATTTCAGTTGCTAGTATTATGGAATTTCACTTTGAAACTTATTCTCATGAACATAGGTTAGCTTAGTAACATTTCTGTTGTGTTGATCTAGGTTTTGTTTGTCCTTATTGTTTGTATTATGTTAAAAGATTTATTTATGCATACAGAGATGGGGTACAGCCAGAGGTGCAGGGGCAGTGAGAGGCTTCACCAGAAACATAGAAGGGAGCAGAACAGGCAGATCAATGATGTACACTGCTGAGGGAGCAGCAGACCACACAGGGAAGGTCTGCTGTGCCATGTGGGTCAGCTCTGGGGCCGGGATCAAACTCACACTGAAGTGGCCACGGCTTGGGCTCAGCTTCTCAGTGCAGAGCTCCAACCTGCTGTGCCACCACAGAGGGCCCTTGTTTATGTTTTTTAAGTCTGTGCTTCTAGTGCAATGCTAATATCTGTAGTTAGGAGCCCAGCGCTCCCCATGGCTCCCACATCCCAGCGGCGTGCACGATCGCTGAGTTCGCCTCCTTGGCGGTTTTACCCACCTGAAGCCGTGGCACATGCTGGAGGATGACAGGCGTCTCCTTTCCTGAGCATCCGCTCCTTTCCTACCAGACAGAGCCAGGAGTTTGCAGAGGTTCTGTAGAGGTTTTAAAATATATAATCCCCTGGCGGGGGGTAGGGGGTGTCGGAGAATCCATGAAGTCCATTTTGGGAATCTACCATGTCAGACTATTTTGGTAATGCACAAAGCCTGCATGCCATCTCACTGTGTTGAATTTTCACGGTAGCCCAAAAATAATGGTGGGTAAACTGCTGGCACCTGGGTGGGAATCCGTCACCGACGGGATTAGTAACTGCACCTCGTGCACTCCCAGCTCAGAAAATGCTGGTTTCGCTTCAGAATGTCCCTCATGGAAGCAGCAGCTATTACAAGTCTTATTAAATCATCCTCTCGGAGCAAGTGTCTTTGTACTCATTCACTTGATGAAACGGGCAGTGTGCCTCCCGCCCTCTGCAAACCCAGTCTCTGGAGCTGGGAGGACCAGCACGTGCTTGTAGCCTAGACACAGCCAGCAGCTTTCTGGTGAGCCGTTTTTGCTTCAGAGAACAACTAGCAGAGATACTATAGTAATTCAGACTGGAGGATTTGGCGGAAATGTTCTCATAAATGAAATGAGTGTCACTGCAGGGAAAACAAGGAACAGAATTTGTTACCAATGATAAGTGAAGTTTTCAAGCAAAAATAGAAACTTCTGGAAAATTCAGTCCCCCTTCCTGAGTCGGACCTGTGCCTTTACTTAGTAACCATCTTTGGTGAGAGCAGTGGTAATGTTAGTGGATGTGATTTTTTTTTTTTAAAGATTTATTTATGCTTACAGATCTGGAATACAAGCCAGAGGTGCGGTGGGTGAGAGGCTTCACCAGAGACAGAGTGGGGAGCACCACAGGCAGATTGGCGAAGTACACTGCTGACGGGAGCAGTGGGTGCGTCAGGAAAGGTCTGCCACGCCATGGGGGTCAGCTTCTTGGCTGGGGATCGAACTTGTTCTGCAGTAGCTTCAGAGTGCTTCATAGTGATGCTTTAACCTGTTGCCCCACTAAGGAGAGCCTGGATGTGATTTTTTTTTTTTTTTATAATATATAATGAAATGTGCCAGCAGTTCGAACAACTCCATAAGTCAGAAACCCAAGATTTCTCAAATGACCAGTTCTTGAAAGTTACAGAATCGTGTGAGGTTAAAAGTGGCAGTGTAAACTGGACCAGTGGATTTAAGTGTAAGAGAAATGAAGAGTTTGTTGGTATGGCTCCTGATTCTATATAGCAGTAAACCTTTAAGAAATCAGTACTTGCTAAGTTTTGATATCTTATCCAAGAAGAATATAGTTACTTGGAAAAGCAATAAAAGACTCTTTCCTTTTCTAACAACATATCTCTATGAAGCAACAAAACAGCACACAGACGCAGAAGCAGACGGGCCAGTTAACGCCCTTGATTTAAGCCATGCATCAAAGATAATTGCAAAACTCTCCTTCATATCATGGAAAATAGAGCTGTTTTTCACAAGTAGGTACTTATGTTAGCATTAATGGGTTGTTTATTAAATGACTTAAGCTCGTATAATTTTTTTTCAGTTTTAACTTTCAGTAAGGTAAATGATACATAGGCCGTGTAGACAAGGTGTATGGGGCGCTGAGCTTTGATAGTGTGAAGTTGGAGAAACGCTGCCCTAAGGGAGCTCTGCAAGGCCCTTGAGGTCTCTTGGAGGAAAGAATTCTAAGAAGAACCAGTACAGTCTAGGCTGGTTGTAACTCAGGGGTCACAGCTTCCAACGGTACCTGTGGCAAGACAGTGAGTCCCAATATAACGGCGTAAGCAGACGAGGTGGCCCGGAGGCAGCCCGTACGCTTATTCAGACCATGCCATGATTCCATTCTGTACAATGTTTTTCCCCTTCAGGTTCTGTTTTTAGGAAGTTAGCCACTGTGGAAATATTAAACATCTTTTTTAAAAAGCACTTGTGCCCTTAATGATAAAATAGGAATGGAATGAACAGAGGGCCAGCGGCAGAAAAGCTGTCTCGCCCCTCAGACTGCAGCCTGCGTCTGCCAGCACCTGGCCGCCTGGCCGCTTTGGTGCCGTCTCGGCACCCGTTCCCGCCCTGGCCGCCCACCAAGGGCCTGCCCTGAGTGTAATACTGACAGCTGCTTCTTTGCCAGGCTCATGGAGTTAATGTGGGAAGGATGACAGAGTAGCTATCCCGGGCCCCTTGACACTGCTGTACCTAAGTGAGTGGCAGGTGCCAAAATAGAAGCAACGAGAAGCAGGCAGACTAGGCTCTTGCCTCTGTTTGAGGCGCTGCAAGTGGCCTGCTCCTGCCATGCCCTTATTTATAACTTGGCTGACTTGCACTTTCCTGTTTTCCATGTGGTGGCCACCTTGGGTCTGCTGCGAACCCTCGACGCCCTCTCTTGGCCTGTGGGTTGTAGTGGCATCCCGTGCTGTGCACGCTCAAGAGCCACATCGAGGAGAACACCGGCCACACCTTCAACTCCTTGCTCTGCAACCTGTACCGCAACGAGAAGGACAGTGTGGACTGGCACAGTGACGACGAGCCCTCGCTGGGGCAATGCCCTGTCATCGCGTCCCTCAGTTTTGGTGCCACGCGCACCTTCGAGATGAGGAAGAAGCCGTCAGCGGTGAGTGTTCTGTTCTTTATTTCACTGTTCTTCCTGCTTCTGTTATTTGTGAAAGGAAGAGCTTAGAGCTCCCGTTTCCAGACTTTGAGGGTAGGAGTGTGTGTTTTGTTGGTGTGACGTTTCCAGTTGATTGCTTACCCGTGGCTAATTTTTGATTTCCAGAGCGCCCATTCACTTACTTCCCCAGCAGCAGCTCTCCTTTGTGCGCCAGGGCAGGGGCGCATTTCCAGGGGAGGAGAGGGCAGGCTCGGGCTCTGTCCTCAGGGAGACAGGGTGACACAGATAACACTGATTCCTCAAATAGCTGGGATGGTGACAAAGGCCGGGAGGGCGGGCACAGAAAGGGAAGGCCTGCAGGGGAGGGGTAAGAATGGAAAGGAAGGCGGCGGAAGGAGGCTGACCTGAGCACGTGTTCTCCTGCCGGTGTTGCCATGCACCCTCCTTTGCCTTCTTAACCTTTGCCTGAAATTCAGATCGACCTGTACCTCAGAGAGCGGAAATTCAAGCCTGGTTATCAGAGCTGGTGGCCCGCCCACGTTTAGGAAGACTGACCTGACTGTAGTAACTTCAGTTTACCATACAGTTTACTTATACTACGGGACATGTCAGAGTTCAGGGCTGTTCATAGTTTTAAATCAGAAAGGATAGACCGTAGAACTGAGGTAAGTAGGGAGATAGGTAGGCAGATGCATGGATAGATAGGAACTCTAAGAAAAGAGCAAACCTCTTACTTGTAGGGTTGTCTTTTTCAAGCCATGGCTTCCTATAATTCAGCTTCTAACATTAAGCCCAGTCAGTGTGGAAAGCCTGCAGGCTGTGTTTTGCATATGACCTAGTCCAGACCACATGATTATTAGTTAGTGTTCATGTCTGCTCTTCCTCAGCTACACTTCTCTCGAGCACAGTTACTAGACTGGACTGTTTGGACCTACGTTGGGTTTCCGAGCTTGGTAGTTTGAAGCATTTGTGCAAGTTTGTGCTTATTTCCTTAAGCATCTTTTGTTGGTTTAGTTTCCACCAGTTAGGTTTTCTTTACTTTCGTTTACACACAGACTTTGGTTTATGGAAGCAGGCGATTGTCAGTGTCCAGTAAGGTACTAAGCAAACTTGTGCATGAGCGCTTGGAATGGCCTTCACGGTTTCTCATGGTCAGGGAGGGCACCTTGAGAAGCAGACCACCTGGCCGTTGCCTTCATACTCAGGCCTCCACGCACTTAAACCTCAGGGCCACACAGGTGAGGGACCCTCCGTGGTCAGGCTCCCTTATGGGAAAGCAGAACACCCAGCTGTCTCACTGTTGGGTTCAAGCCCTCTTTTCAAGCTAGACATGGGGGACACCATTTTTTGCTGGGTGTGGGCCTGTGAGCGGAGCTGTGGGCCTGGGGAGGGCAGAGCCATCTTCCCTGCGGCGCTCCTGGCCTGCGCGCGCCAGTGCTGCATCCTCCAGGCGCCTTCCGTGCCTCTGGTCAGCGGCCAGTCGTGGTCCGGCCGCTACCGTCTTAGCTATACCTAGTCTCCATTCTTTGCAGTTACTTTCTTTGTTGCTGATGTGTCTGTAGCCCATTCCTGTTTCTTTGTGCACATACATTTGCTTTGTTAAACACATTTTTGATCTACTTAGTGATTCAGAGTTTAAGATTTTTCAGAGTAATGCTGGAATGTCAACTAGTAGGCATTGACATTGCTGCCTGTTCCATTCCCTTTTCCCACCAGGCAACTGAAGAGGGTTTATTTTCTCATATCAAAGCATTCATGATGACCACGAGCTGCTTCTTGGGAGTGTACTTACAAGTTAGTACATGATAGAGAGCTTACCGACCACATATGTGTGCATCTTTTCTGAGGGCAACTGCTTGGAACAAATTCTCTGTTTAAGAAGGCGACTATTCATGCTGAAGCTTTATCTCTAAGGCCTCTTGAGTTCTATTTTGGTAGATGAGACTTAAAAACACAGGTCATAAAACACTAAAATGTGACACATTTCCTAGGAGTGAAGGAATCTGTACTATAGCCAATTCGATTTAAAAAGAAAATAGCTCTACTTAAAGTGAGAAATTTGAGAATTTGATACAAAGTTGGCTGAGGAAATATATTTGGGAAGAAATATGAATAGTCAGTACCTCGGATTATTGACATTGGTAGGTACTGACTTCCCGCGTGATCTTCACTGGGTTTGAGCTTGGTGCAATCGTCTATCCTCCCATGCTGACTTAGTTTAGGATGGGAAAAGTTGAATGTTAATGTATTTGAAATTATAATCATGCATTAGCGAATTCAGTTTCTCCTGAGAACCTGTAAGTTCCAACCTTGGGGTAAAGAGGGCCCAAGTTTAGACTTGTGTTAAGTCTCCTTCAAGTTTCTTTAAAAGATTCCAGAAATCTGGGGCTCCACATATCTGGCTCAACGAAAGGTGCCGACACCTTTCTTTTAACTCATATTTTGCAAATATGAGTACATCATCTTGATCTTACTCTAATGATCCCTTTCTGAAGGATTGGAAGGAAATTGTTATTGCAAATCTGTGCCTACTTTTCTTTCTAAACTCTGGTGATAGCTCTGAAAAAATGACTCATGATTCATACAACTCAAGGAAAAAGCATAAATTACCAAGTAGAAGTCAGGTTAGTTTTCAGTGTAGAATCTGGAGGAGTCTGACATGCTGAAACGCTTAGGGACCTCACTTGCTCTGCCACTATAGCTTGTAATTTTCATGCCCATCAACAAGACATGTGCAGTGTGCTGGAGGTTGTGGGTGGGAATCTCTTTCAGATTCCTGTTAGTTTTAACCTATCAAAAGTGAAGCCAGACCTGTTTGACTTGAAGTTTCTCATCTGAAGCTGACATTGGAAGAATCATAAGATTTTCTGCACTTGACTCAAGTGTGCAGTTTTGAGCAGAAAAGCATCTGTTTTGGGCCACTTTCAAAGAGAAATAGTCTTCATTTTCTTTTTTTTCTTAAACCTCCAAACTCCTCCACCCCTGCAGCAGCCGTTTGTTTAGCAGTCTGGCACCTTACCCACATCTCCGTAGCTGCTGATCCTCTGAAAGCACCCCCAGTTCCACACATCTCTTTCCTCACGGTTTCTCACTGTGTGGCGATGGGGAGGAGATCTTCGTTTCCCTAAGCATCAGGGCCCCTCAGAGCTAGGCTTGGACCATCAGCCTCATGTGTGCACATCCCTGGACTCAACATTTCACTGCTTTCAGCAATGATCCTTTGTTCCTGCTGTCCCTAGTCCTAACCTGTCAACTCCTGCTCATGCATTTGATTTTGGAGTAAATAACCATTTCATTTAATGATAGTAAGGTACTTGGGGCCTAGTAAACTTGTCCGATCTTGCTTTCCCATTCAGCCCATCTTATCTTTGTGAATTTAATTAAAGTCTGGATGAAAAGCTCCATCATCTGCCTCCTGCTAAGGTCAGCATGTACTATCTTAAACCAGGAGTGAAGCTCACTAAGGCCTCAGTTGACATTTTTAGAAATCGGGAACCCTTTTTATTCTACCAAGCGGGGCTCGTTGAAGCTTTTCATACTTTTTGTACCAAACCCAGTTATGCTTTTCAAACTGTGGCGTGTCCCTGTTGTAAAGATTAGTCTGTTCCCACCCCCCCCCCCCCCCCACACACACTCCCCAGCTAACTTTAATTCTATACTGAAAAATAAGCTGGAAGAGGAACTACAAAAGCCATTTGGCAGGCTGCTATTTCTCTGTCGGTTACCATGGAAACAGTGATGGCTGAGTTGGGGGGGTTATTAGATAATAGCAGGAAGTTTGTGATGCACTGGAGATTTAGATGCCAAAGCCTTGTTTTTCTAGCAAATTGCCCGTGGATTGGCTCTGTCCTTCATCAGCAAATCCTAAGATGTTAAGGCTTCTGTCCTCCTCAAGGTGATTGAGTTGAGCTAAGTTAGACATTTCTCCAGCCACTCCTTTCTCTGGCACATTCAGAGAATGTGAACCCTGCTTGTGTCCACAGACTAAATGTGTGTAAAACCACTGCTGATAGTGAGGTGCTGAGCACCAGGACTTGGAGTGCCTCATGCCTCTGTCACGAATGGTTTGTTTACAAACTGCTGGGAAGAGTAAAGTTAAGAAAAAGTCTTTTTTTAATGATAAATACTGATTTTTTTTCATGTGTTTAGGAAAAAATGAGGACATTTGAATCCAAAACAATAGTGACTAGCTTAAGGTTGAAATTGAGGTCCAGTAGCCAGCACAGCATTTCAGGGAGCACAGAGACTGCGCCTCCCCTCGGCCAGCACCCTACGCTGCTGTGCCAGTCGCTCGGGCTTCTTACTGGTCCGTCTTCTGATTACAGCCTCTGTTCTGAGAAATTCATGAATACTGGAAATTATTGAGACTGTAGTCTTTTTAAAGCTAATGAAATTTAGAAAATTGAATTTTATCTTCTTTGCCTGGCTCTGAAAGCACTTCTCTGCCTCATTTCTATTTACTCCGTTACTGCAAATGGGGATGGTAATCGGTGCTACTTTATGGGAGTAATGGAAGGGTTTTCCCATGAAAGACACTGTGAAAATTGATGTAGTAATCAATGCATTTGTAAGCTGTTATGAGTGATATGTGCCGTGGTTACTCTTCAGATGTAGAAACAGAAAAAGGAAATAAATAGTGAAGCTAGGTTCCAGGATCCCCTGGGCTGTGAACTGAGCGAGTAGAGGGGAGACTGGGAGGGCAAGAATGCCTGTGAATCAGGAGTGCGACCCCCCTGGCCTGAATGTGGGGTCACTTAATGGCTTAGAGAACGTGAGTGAACAAGTATGTACTTACGAGGATAGAGTGAGTCCCGAGAAGGCTGGCATTATCTTCAGCCTTGAGGCCCTTTGGGAGCTGGAATCCGCTTTCGCCTCCTTGGGGCCTTGCGTTTCTTGGAAACATTATATTACAAATAATGGAGTCTTCATCACATTAAGTCTTCCGGTTTCAGTGGCACAGTCAGTGTATCTGGAATGGCTGTGAGAGCGAATGTAAAGCCGAG